CCTCACCTGAGCCCCCCCTCACTTTCCCCCCCCCAGCTCTCTTACATCGCCGAGGATGAGAACGGGAAGATCGTTGGCTACGTCCTGGCCAAGATGTGAGTGTGGCCTGGGGGGGCTTCCCCGCCTTCCCCCCGCTTCTCCTGAGCTTTGGGGGGGTCCCGGGGGGGTCCCCAGGGGGATTTGGGGGTCTCACCCCCCCCCGAACCCCTCCTATGCTCTTGCAGGGAGGAAGACCCCGATGACGTCCCCCACGGACACATCACCTCCCTGGTGAGGGGGGCTCTGGGGGGCTCTTGGAAAGGGTTTGGGGGGGCTCCTGGAGGGGTTTTGGGGTCAGCTGAGGGTTTTTGGGGTGTCCCAGCCCATTTTGGAGTCCCGTGGGTTTTTTTGGGGTCCCCTGGTTTATTTTTGGGGTGTCCCAGCCCGTTTTGGGTTCTTGTGGGGGTTTTTGGGGTGTCCCAGCTCGTTTTGGGGTCCCCTGGGTTTTTTTTGGGGTCCCTCAGCCCATTTTGGGTTCCTGTGGCGTTTTTTTGGGGTGTCCCAGCCCGTTTGGGGTCCCCTGGGTTTTTTTTGGGGTGTCCCAATCCCCCCAAAACCCCCCCAGGAGCACCCCAAAATAACCCCCCCGTTTGTCCTTGGCAGCAACCGGGCCGCGCTGCACCTCTACTCCAACACCCTCAACTTCCAGTGAGTCTGGGCTGGGGGGGTCGGGGGGTTTGGGGGAGCTGCAGGAGGAAATTTGGGGGGGGTTTGGGTGGGGGTTGGGACCCCCACCCCATTTTTGAACCCCCAAAATCCCCCCAGGATCAGCGAGGTGGAGCCCAAGTACTACGCGGACGGGGAGGACGCGTACGCCATGAAACGGGACCTGACCCAAATGGCAGACGAGGTACAGCCCCCCAAAAACCCCCCTGGGACCCCAAAAACACTCCTGGGACCCCAAAAACCCTGCTGGGGGGCTTCCATCCCCCTGAGACCCTGAAAAACCCTCCTGGGACCTCCAAAAACCCTCCTGGGACCCCTAAAAACCCTCCTGGGAGGCTTCCAGGGACCCCAAAAACCCTCCTGGGGGGCTTCCAGGGACCCCAATAACCCTACTGGGGGGCTTCCATCCCCCTGAGACCCTGAAAAACCCTCCTGGGACCTCAAAAAACCCTCCTGGGACCCCTAAAAACCCTCCTGGGAGGCTTCCAGGGACCCCAAAAACCCTCCTGGGGGGCTTCCAGGGACCCCAATAACCCTACTGGGGGGCTTCCATCCCCCTGAGACCCCGAAAACCCTCCTGGGACCCCCAAAAACCCTCCTGCAGGGCTTCTAGGGACCCCAAAAACCCTTCTGGGGTGGCTTACATCCCCCTGGAACCCCCAAAAATTCTCTTGGGGAGCTTCCACTCCCCCAGAGCCCCCAAAAACCCTCTTCACCCTCACTGGGACCCCCAGAAACCCTCCTGGGGCAGCTTCCATCAGCCCGGGACCCCCAAAAACCCTCCTAGGGGACTTCCATTACCCCAGGACCCCCAAAAACCTTCCTGGGGGGCTTCCCGGGACCGCAAAAACCCTCCTGGGGGGGCTTCCATCCCCTCCAGGACCCCCAAAAATCCTCTCCCATCCTCCCTGGAATCCCCAACAACCAGCCGGGGGGGCTTCCATCCCCCTGGGATCCCCAAAAACCCTCCTGGGGGGCTTCCAGGGCCCCCAAAAACCCACCTGGGGGGGCTTCCACGCCCCCAGGTGTAACCCCCTCTCTGCCCTGCCCCAGCTGAGGAAGCAGGTGGAGCAGAAGGAGCGGGGCCGGCCCCCGGCCCCCACCGAGCCCCCCCGGGGTGGGGATGGGGTCTGCGGCTCGGGGGGGCCCCCCTCGAACCCCCCCCCCACGGGACCCCAACAACACCACGAGGACGGGGGGGGCGACAGCAAAGACGTCAGCGAGGTCAGCGAGACCACCGAGAGCACCGACGTCAAGGACAGCTCCGAGGCCTCCGACTCCGCCTCATAGGGACCCCCGGGAGCCCCCCCAAAATCTCTGGGACCCCCGGGGGGGGGAGGGTTCGTCCCCCCAAGGGGCGGGGCTTGGGTTGGTCACGCCTTCAATACAGCTGGGTGGTGGCGCGTGGGGGCGTGGCCTATGCGGATGTCCCTCCTGCTGATTGGTGAGGGCGCGGCCAGCACCGGGAGCTGCCCGCTGATTGGTGGGGACGCGCGGCTGTGGCGCCCCCGTGCGGGAGGGCGGGGAGAAGCAGGAGGAACCGGGAACGGGAACGGGAGCGAGGCTGGGGAAACGGGAATGGGACCGGGAACGGGAACAGGACCGGAGCGAGGCTGGGGGAACGGGACCGGGCCGGCGCCACGCCTGCCGTGTGCTGCTGCATCCGCCGCTCCGGGACCGGTCGTGCCGGTGCGTACAGACCCGGCCCGGAGCGTTTCCCCCGCCGCTGATCTTCCCCCGAACCCCGGTGCGGTTCCACGGGCGGTTCGGGGTCCCGGGGGGGCTGGCGGAGCTCGGGGAGCCGGTGCTGGAGCAGGAGGAGCCGGGCCCGGCGGCGACCACGGCACCACCGCGGGGTGGGGGCGGCACCGGGACCGGGGGATGGAGGCACCGGCATGGGCTGGAAAGGAGGGGGGGTTTCCTCCTCTCTGTGGTGCTGGGGGGGCACTCGTGGGGGTCCCTGGCTCTTTGGGGGTCTCTCTCTCACCCCCCCACCCCAGACCCCAACACCTGCAGCAGGTGAGGAGGGGACTGACCCAGGGGAGTCAAATCACCCTGAAATCCCCCCCCCGGTTCCCTTGGGGTTGAAGGCAAGTCTCTGTGAATCTGTTAAAACTTTCTCTTTATTATAATATATTTTTGAATATAAAAAGAAAATTTTACAAGTTTTTAACCCAAAATGTACAAAAATGGTCAGGAAATGGTTGTGTTTCTCCCCTTGTGTGGGGTGGGTGGTGGGGGGGGAGGGATTTAAGGGGACCCCCTCACCCCCCAGGTAATGGAGCTGGGGAGATTGGGGATCCCCGGAGGTGGGGGGTGGGGTCATGAAAGTTTTGGGGAGCAGGGGGGTGAAAGGCCTTCGAACACCCTGAGCTGTGTTGGGGGCCCCCAGCCCCTCGTTACCCGCAATGCCGGGGGGGTGGAGATGTGCAGCACCCCCAGATCCCCCCCCCAGTTAAATTCTGCCCCTGTTGGGGTCTTTCTGTCCCACGGGGGGGTTGGGGGGCTCCTCTGTTGGGATCTCTTCCACGCCACTGCCTGGAGGAGGAGGATTGGGGGGCACAAAATCAACGCTTACTCCCCAACCAAGAGGACTCTGGGGGGGGGTCACACACCCCTATTTCCTCAGGTGAGGAGTTTTGGGGTCCCCCCAGGGTAGGGAGAGGGGGGGGCCGGTCACATACCGTCCCCATCATCTGGGATCTCCTGCACGTCCTCGTCGTCATCCAGGATCACCACGCAGTCCTCGCCGCTCTCACTGGGGAGGGGGCGTTAATGGGGGGGGGGTGTGTGTGAAAGTTTGGGGTTCCCTGCCCTGGAGCCCCCCCAAACCCCCCTGGGGTGCAGCTCACCTGTCAGGGGGTCCCTCGGCGCCCTCCCCCAGCAGGTAGAACTGGAGCGGGTTGGGCCAAAGCTCCTCCTTGATGATCTGGGGGAGATGGGGAGGTCAGCGGGGTACTGGGAGCACTGGGAAGAGGTTCTGGGAGCACTGGGCTCACCTCAGCCACACGGTCCCCTGCAGGGAAGCTGTGATCCCCAAACCACGCAAAGAAGCTCCGAGGGGCCGGGGGACCCTTGTGGGGACGGGTCCGGGGGTCCTGCCCCTGCCACCACCGGATCGGGGTCGAGTGGGACACCAGGTGACCTGAGAGGAAGGACAACGCACAAGGGGGTGACTCTGGAGCCCCCAAACCCCCTCGTTGGGCTGTAGGAAGTGGGGGTGCCCCCCCTCCCTGCCCCAACACCCACCGGAGGGGCCGCGCACGAACTCCTTGGCCACGACGTCGTTCTGGAAATAGGGGTTGACGCTGAAGAAGAAGCGGATGCGGCACCCGGGGCGGCTCTGCCCGAACTCCTCCACCTGCAGGCCCAGGTGTGTTACCTCGATGGGAGGGGGGGGGTGCCACAAAACCCCAAATTTCCCCCCAAAACCCCTCCAGGCACCTGCAAACTCGTCATGTAGCTCAGCGCGTCCTCGTCGCGGTCGCTGATCATGGCCGAGAGCTGCGGGTGGTTCAGGAACTGCGCACGGCGGGGGCGTCAAGGAAAGATGGATCTGGACGTTCCCGCGTGCCCCCCACCCCAAAACGGACCCCCCCAAGGATACGGCGGTGACCCAGAAGCCGGGGATGTGCTGGATGAGGCGGTTGCGCCGCTGCAGGTGCGGCCGGCGGCGGAGGCAGAAGCGGGTGCGCAGGCGGCGGAAGGCTCGAGCCGCCTCCTCCTCCACGGCCTCCAGCTCCAGCTGCACGGCCTCCAGCGCCGCCAGGTACCGCGCCGGCCCTTCGTCCCGCTCCTCCTCCTCCTCCTCGTCCTCGTCCAGGGAGATCACCGCGCTCTCCTCGGCCACGTGCTCCTTGGGGACCGGCACCCCCGCGGGCTCTGGGACCCCCACGAGATCTGGGAGCCCGGGGCCGCCCCGGCTCTGCCCCACGCAGGCTGTGGGCTCCAGGCCCTCCTCGGGCTCCGTGGGGAACTCCACGCCTCCTTTCTGCTCTCTGTCCCGCTTCACGTGGCCAGTGATGGTGGTCTCCGGGCTCCCTGTGTCTTCTCTGGTGGCCTCCAAGTCCTCCAAGCTCTCCCTGCTGGTGTCCAGGCTTCTCTCCCACTCCAAGCACGGGGGACTGGCAGTCTCTACGCTCACCCTGGGCCTCGCAGGGGTCTTTGCCTTGCGCCTGCTGGTGCTTTTTTGCTCCCCACCAGGAGAAGCATCACTCTCCACACTGCCCCGGACCTTGGTGGTGGTCTCCAGGCCCCCCTTGCTCCTTCTGCCTTGCTCCAAGCAGCGAGTGACGGCTGTCTCCAGGCTCCCTTTGCGCCCATTGGTGGTCCCAAGGCTCCCTGTGACCTCCCTGCTGGTCTCCAGACCACCCGTGGCCTCGCTGGTGGTCTCCACGCTTCCCTTGGATTCCATGGGAGTTTCCGGGACACCCTTGTTCTTCTCCAAGGAGTGTGTGGCAGCAATTTCCAGGTCTCCCATGGCCTCTCTGGTGGTCTCCGAACCCCCTTTTTCCTGATCCAAGCAGTCACCACTTGTGTTCTCCAAGCTCCCTCTGCTTCTGTTGATAGTCTCCAGGTCCCCCTCGGCCTCCTCGGTGGTCTCCAGGCTGGCCAAGACCTTTCCGGTGACCTTCGGCTCCCCCGTGCCCTCCCCGGGGGTCTCCAGCCCCTCCCCGGGGGTCTCCAGCCCCTCCTTGGGGGTCTCCAGCCTCTCCCCGGCCAAAGCCGCGATCTCCGGGCAGCCGCCAGGGGGCGCGCGCGCGTCCCCGCCGCCGCCGCCCCGCGCATGCCCGGACCCGTCGCCCCGCGCGCGCGCGCTGCGGCCCTCACCACGACCTCCGGCGGGGGTGGGGGAACGAGCCGTCTGCTCGCGGCTAACGGCGGCGGCAGGGCCCGTCCCGGTGGGCTCGTCCAGACGGCGGAGCTTGGCCGGGGACGGTCGGTCTGTCCCGGCCCCGGCCCCGCTCATGGCGGCGGCTCCGGCGCCCGCCAGGGCCGAAGCAGCGGCCGAAAAAGCGCGCGCGCCGCCGCCGCCGCCGCCGAAGCCCCGCCCACCCGCTCGTCACTCGCGCGCTGCCCATTGGCCGGTTGCCATGGCGACTCCCGTTCACGCGGGGCGGGCGGGAAAGGAGCGGCCAATGGGAGCGCGCTGCTTTGGCGGGCTCGGGGAGCGTGGTGGGCGGGGCCAGGGGAGCCGCGCTCATGCGCAGCGCGAGGAGCGCACGTGCGGGCGGCGCGAGAGCCCCGCCGTGAGGGGAGAGGCCCCGCCCCCCTCCCGCCGTGAGGGGCTGAGGGAGCGTGAGGGCAGCGGGACCCTCCCGGAGGGGACGGGTTGCCACCCACACTGTCACCTGAGGGACTGGGACCCTCCCTCAGGGGCTGAGGAACCACGGGGGCAGGCAGGAACCCCTGGAGGGGACAGTGAGTATAGAGGGGCTGGAACCACCCCCCTACCTGAGGGGCTGGGACCCTCCTGCAGTGACTTAAGAGGGGCTGCCCCCCCGCCCGCCACCATTACCTGAGGGGCTGAGGACCCATGAGGGCTGGTGGGTGCTCCCACTGTGGCTCCAGAGGAGCTGAGACCCCCACACGATGTCAACCAAAGGACTGAGGGACTAGAGGGGGAGCAGAACATGCAGAGATGACAGGATACCCCCACAGTGAGTCCAGAGGGGCTGGGACACACCTTGCTGCTGTCACCTGAGCAGCTGAGGGGAGGGAGGACTCCTCACCTGCCTCACAGTGAGCCCAGAGGGGCTGGGACCCCCCATAGCGACTTCAGAAGGGCTGTGTCGTCCCACCCCCCCACCCTGCTGAGGTGACAGGAGGGACAGGACCACCAGCCACACTGTGACTCCAGAAGGGCTGGGACCCTGCCACACACACACACTGTCACCCAGAGGGCTCAGGGACTGCGGAGGATGCGACCCCCACACACAGATGGGACACCCCCGCTGTCACCTGAGGGACTGCCACCCCATACAGGGGGCTGGGAGTGTCCCCTAACTGTCACAGGGATCACTGGGACACTGCCCACAGTGAGTCCTGAGGAGATGGGACCACCCCAATGTCACCTGAGGGCACAGGAGCCTCCTTGGGCTGGTTGCAGGGCAGGGAGGACCCTCCCTGAGCACCAGGAACGCTCTCGGCAGCTTCACTGGGGGCTGGGGACCCCCTTTGGCCACCCCCGGGAGGCTCAGGACCCCCCCCAGCTGCTCCCAGGACACTCGGGACCCCCCAAGTGCCTCCAAGGGGCCTTAGGACCACTCCCCACTTCATCCTAGGGGGCTTGAGACTCCCTCCCCAGCTGCTTCCAGGACACTCGGGCGGGGGGCTGCACCGACCCCCCCCCTCGTAGCGCAGGGCCATCTCGTTGGCCAGCGACGTGTTGGGGGCTCTCTCGGGGAATGGGGGGCCCCCGTTTCTCGGGGGGGGGTCGCTGTCGCCGGGGTCCCCCCGCAGCCGGCGCAGGTGGGACAGGTAGAGCTGCTCCAGCTCCCGCGCCACCGCCTCGTCCTCGGCGCCCTAATTGGGGAGGGGGCACAGTTTGGGGTACCCCCGCCCTCGGGCAGGCACGGTTTGGGGTACCCCGTTCCTCAAGGGAGGGGGGCACCCCAGTTTTGGAGGGGGGGAAGGGCAGGGTCAGGCTCTGTGGAGGGAAAGGGGGGGGGGAGGGACCCCCAAAATTCGGGGGGATCCCCAAAACTTGAGGTAGCCCCAGTAATTGGGGTGCACCCCCAAATTTGGGGGAGCGATACTTACCTGTGCTGTGCTCGGGGGGTGGGGGCTGCACATCCTCCGCCTCCTGTGGCCTTTTGGGGGGACACGGGTGTGGGGGGGGGGTCACCGGAGAGGACCCATTCCCCCCCTCCCCCCGCCCCCCCAGTCTAGGGGTGGGGGAGCAGCATCTGCACCCCCCCAGAGTGTGACCCACATTCTGGCCCCGAGGGGTCCGGGGGGGAACCCAGGCATGCGCCACAGCCCCCCCCTCAATTTCAGGGGACACATGCGGGGGGGGTAGGGGGTTAACCCCATTTTGGGGGTCGACCCCGTTTTGGGGGTCCCCCATGCAGATTCCCCCCCGCCTCCCCATCTCTTACCTGCCCTTCCCAGGCCTCATCCAGATCCCGGGGGGGGGCGGCTCTCCCACCGCGCCCCCCTCCCCCCCTACCGGGGGTCCC